AAGGCAGGAAGGCAGGAAGGCAGGAAGGCAGGAAGGCAGGCAGGCAGGCAGGCAGGCAGGAAGGAAGGAAGGAAGGAAGGAAGGAAGGAAGGAAGGAAGGAAGGAAGGAAGGAAGGAAGGAAGGAAGGAAGGAAAATATTAACCTCAACAAACAAAAAACCTGGTTTGATTTCTACGTGGATAAATAGAATGCCAGATTACACCTCAGATAGCTCCTAAAAATTCACAAAAGTTTACCTATATATTCACCAGCCACCCTGGAATGAACAAGCCACGCAGAGTGATCTTTGGGTTCAGCTTAATTTTCTCTCAGTGGGTGCTTCAGGAAACATTTGAAAACAGAAAAAGGAAAGTAGAAAATAGAAGTGGAAGACTCTTAGACTTTCCAGCTAGCTCAGTGGTTTTTCAAAGAGACAGAAATTAATTCAATTTGCCTCTTATTAAAAAGTAAATCAAATTTTCTATATTTCTTGAAAAGGAAAGATTTTAGCTTGTAAGCTATAGCTTTGTTGTACTGTGTGTCTCTCAGAGAAAGAATACCTCTGTGCTGTCTTTCTGGATACTTCAGCATTCCTCTGGAGGGAGAGAAATCAGCAAAGACATAAAGAAAATTGCCCTATAGCTCGAGGCTGTAAGGGGCACCAGGAGACAGCACTGACAGGCAGTGCAGAGCTTGCAAGAGTAGCTACAGCCTCTTGACTCCACAGCATTCAGGAAGCTGTATTTGTCTCATAAAGCAAAATTTAACATGATCTTTTCCTGGCCTGTGTTAAATAATAAAAATACCATTAAGACAAAGTACTTGGCCTTTTAAAGACAAGGAGCTTATGACAATTGTACTGATTATGCCTGACTGGTAGATTGGGGTATATAGGAAGGGCAGCAGGAAAGGGTGGCAAAAGAAGCAGAGGTTTATGCAGTAAAAATCCACACAAAAGGAACCTAAAAATTCTAAGCAATTTAAAAGGGAAAATTGCTTTTTGTCACATTGCACTTACATTTTATGCTGGAAAATAAAACAGGTCTCTGAAACACAACAGTTGGCTGTAGCAGCAAGTTCTGCCTGAGCTGAGGAAAAGAGCCAGATGTCTTATAGATAGGCAAGCAGCTGCTCTCCAGACATTTGATTGCTATTTTATATCCAATATCTAGCTCAAATGTGCCACACAGCTATCATTTATTTATATCACATGGCTCATACTTACAGGTTAGAATCTGACTTTTAAGGTACTGTTACAAATTTGTATTCGAGCCTTCTTCACCTGCCCTGTTTTACATTCCATCTGTCCTCCTAAACCAGAGAACAAAACAATTATGTTTGCCTATTTAATAAAATGTGTAACTCAAGTTCTTATTCATCTTTATCTAACATATTACTTCTTACTGGGTTTGGCTATTTGCAACCTGTCTCAAAATGCAAAAATATCTCAGTGTAGCTTTTTTCCTTCAGCAAGTTAGTTCAGTCCCATACACCATATCCATTTATTAACTATTCTTCTAATTTTAAAAATGCACAGAAACACATTGGGGAAAAAAATAAAAGTGGAAGATTCAAGCTTGTTGCACAAATTGCTATGTTGGCCCTAAGTGGCAGGTTCATTATATGGACTTCATCTCAGAGGACCTGCCTAGCAAGTTGTAGACTTTTGGAGGTCATGAAGGTTTTGGTGGATATGCTGCTTCTGAGCACTTGCCAAAGCAATAAATAGATTTTCACAGTTGTGGAAAATGTATAGATTTCCTCAAAGTCTTTCATAAAGTTACTGAATGTTTCTGATTCTCCTTCTAAAATAAAACCTCAAAATAAGGAAGAAAATGGTATTAAAACATCTGCTTCCTTTGGAAATTCTGGTTTATAAATGTCTTTCATATATACTAACAGCACAATTTGACAGTACCTTAAATTTCAGGGTCACATGACACCAATTCATGATAGCACTTGTTCTCATCTGCCCACCAATCTGTCATCTCTGATTAATTTAACATCCCAACCTCTTAAGCAGCTCCCAAATGCTTCCAGATTTAAAATTATAATAATAAGACAAATTTAGAGGAGTAGTCTGCTAGAAAATACATTTCTCCATTTTCTTATAAAACATATGTTTTTTCCAAAAGGCATCACATTGTCTTGACTTGAAATGGAGGATTTAATGTGATTTATTAGTGTTAAATCCATTTTTAAGGTCCTATTTCTTTAAAACTTAGAAGCTAAATCCATTTCTGATTTTTAAGTTTGGGGGTGGATAAGGTAATGCATTATACATTTGACTTGGTCACATAGCAGAAGTGCTGTCTCCCATTATAGCACTTTAATATTTCCACTTTAGAGATAGACTTGTTTAGCTGTGCTTCAACTCAACCATCTCTTTTGAGAGAAAGAAAGGAAATACAAAATTATTCCAACGTAAGTCAATAAATACCTTCAAAACTTTCCTGAAAACATTTGTTGTACATTATAGTTCACGAACAGAACATGCTCCTGCCCGGTGTGGAACAGCAACACTTCAGCAATACTCTGAAAGTTGATCTCACTTCTGTTGCAATGACATAGATGGGGAATGGCAGTGACAGCATCATTCAAAACTTCTCATATTTTTAGAGAATATCTGTCTGGTGAAAGGCTGTGCTGGAGATTGGAGCAGTCTGCCCCAGTGGTAGCTCAGCTATCTGTTCCTGAATTGCACCGTGACACTATTTTTAATTGTCCCACCCTCTCCCTGAAAATAACATTCAGCCATGGTAGCATTTTGGGGATTGGAATGCCTGGAAATGGACTTTGAACCAAAATCTGCTTCCAGAAACTACTTAAAGGGCAGGCGTGGATGTCGAGTATAGCTGTGGAAGGTGATGGTAAACACTACTCAAGGACAAACCTTAAACAGAAAATAAAAAGAGTAAACTTATAGCAGAAGTTTTAAGTAGTACTGAAATTATACACTTTTAAAAAAAGGCCATTTGCTTTTCAGCAAATCTGAATCCAGTTCTAAGACTCTCTTTGTAATACACGTTAGTGACATTGTTACTCAGCAGGACAATTACAGGATGCTACCACCCCTAGGCAGAACCAAGCTACTGCATAAATATTGGAATAGCATGTTTTCCAATGAATTGACAGTTCTAAATGTAAAAAGTTCAGAACTTATTGGATCAGAAACAAATGGAGATAGTGCACAAGTTGCTCACGATGATATCTGCAGTCTGAGGCATCACATGATCTTACCACTGCCCAGCACCAAACTGCAAGGGAGGTGGGGTCAAACTAGGGCCGACACAGGGCCAAGGGAAACTGATTTATTTTCCTTCAAGATTGCCACCACAATGCAGATGGCAAGTGGATTTTTAAAGATGCTTGTTTTACCAACTCATGCTCATTTCATAATTTTCTATGACCTCCTCACTCCTTCTCTGGAAAAACACACAACAACCATATAAGGACTCTTGTCCTTGGATAGATTGCTATTGTTTTCCAAGTACAGATCCACAGTCTTTTTTAAATTATTGAATTACCTTCTGGTTTGCCTCACACCTCTTTCTGAATTGTCATAGGTGTTTTGAGTTTTAATCTGCTACCTGCATTTCCTCCTAACTAGATATCAATAGCAAATATATAAGGCACCCCCACTTTTCCATCAGTCAAGCCATTGAAGAAAATATCAACTAATTCTGGAACAAGCACAGATTATTCCTGAAAACCCCCACTCAATAAATTGCCGTCGTTTGATTTCTTTCCTTTGCAGCCTTTTCATCCAGACCATATGTTCCCAGCTTACTTACAAGAGTGTTCTAGGATACAGTGTCCAGAGACTCACTAAAATCAAGATGTGGTATCCACTGTTTTTGTGAAGCCACATGAAGGATTATCCTATGACAGATTGAGTTTATTTTGGCTTGATGTGGATTTTATTGGCCAGTCCTTTCTCTTTATATACTATCTTCTAAATGTTCATAATCAGTATGTTATTTTTCCACTATTTCTACAGGAATTGAAATTAACCCTATATGTTGTTATTTTAACCTCACTCTTCCATTACTTTTTAAAGTTAGGCACCTTTTCTCTTCTGGAGTAACTGCTCACAAAATAGATCATTTGCTTGCATAACTCCAAGTGCCTTCTTTACCCTTTTAAGTTCTTGTCCTTTTTGTCATGATACCATTTGCTTACAGCTGACCTTTTGAGTGAAACAAAAGAGCTGAAACTATCAGCTTTCTGGGCATTGTTTGCATTTCTGGGCACTTCACACTGCAGAGAAGTGGGCTAGGTCTTGCTTTAGCTTCCTCTGCCTGTTGGTGCACCAACATGCTGAGAAGCATGCATCACCTATGCACCACATGGTTTCACTCTCTGTTTTGGTCTCACATGTTCATCCATTCATCTTTCTTTAAATTCTTTTCCTTGGTGAGCGTTCCACAGCTCCTTCCCTTCCTCCGCACTGTCATAACTTGCAATTTTGCATAGTTTTCTTTTGCATAGTTTTGCATAAACTTGCATTTAACATAGTTCCTTTAAAGATCTGCCTACTGCACTTAACTCTCTCTCAGAGTTGTCTCCCACAGGATCTCACTTACTAGTTCTCTGAATTCCTATAATCTGCTCTGCTGAAGCACATTGCATCTCTTCCTGTTTGTCGTGAATTCTGCTGCTTCATCGTTGTTCAAGGAGTGCCCGAGTTGCTTTTAACTATTGCTTTTTCCTTTAGGTTCTACCAAATTAGGAGGATCATATCTGGAAAATGTCATCTCTCTTTGCATTTTCCAACTTCTACATAGAAAATTTCCAATAAAACTTTTCAAAAATTAGCCAGCATCCTGAGGGCAGCTGTATTCCTTCCCCAATGTGCAGATTTTTGAAATCAAAGTATACTGATGGCACTGAGTCCTGGAGTTTGGATAATTCTGCTTACAAAAGGGTCATCATGTGATTTCCTTGATAGCTGTCCAGCTATTGACTCCCATCTGCATATAAACACTTCTTGTCCTTTAAATTGTACTCAGATATTATGAGACAACTTTTGAGCCTCTTTTATTACTGACCTCAGAGCAAAAGATATCTGCATGTACATTAACATATAAGGTAACACCTACATCCTTTTCTCTGTCTTCATGCCCTGAAGAAATTCCACTGTTAATGTTCCTTTTATATGAATCATCCCATCAGGTCTTTATTAGGTCTATTAAGTCATAACTTTGAAATGTATTTATACTGCTACTTCCTCTTGCTTCTTCTCTGTGCAAATGCTGTTCAGACATTCCAGGGACAGAAAAATGAACCTGACTACAGAAAACAGACTGAGACTCCTAGAAAACAGCAGACATCTGGCTCTAAGAGACATGCAAAAGAGAAAGAATGTCTGGTGGCACTCTCTTGTGTTGAACACTTGCAGAAGAAAGCACCACTCAGGCTCCTGTACAATATCCACCCATTCAGTCCAAGAAGCTGATGGAAGCCAATCTGCTGCATCCAAAGCAGAATCTGCTACAATCAGATCCACAGACAGGTTCAATCCTTATGACTACTTTTGATGCCTGTTGTTCATATTTTTATTAAATTCTTTTAATATTTTTAATTAAATTTGTATTAAATTCTTCTCCATCTGAGAATGATAGAGTATTTTCTGTCAAGATCGGTGAGAAACTTCTTCTGAAAATGGACATTAAAGAACTAGCCTCAAATTCCTGAAAGTGTTGGACCATCCAGTAATCTGAAAAGATCTCTGATGTTAATTTATAATGAATCATATTTATATTTATTTATATATATTAATTATATATATTAATATATATAATATATATTATTATTTATATATATTATATATATTATATATATAATATATAATATATGATATATAATATTATATATATAATATAAATATTATTATATATAATTATATATATTAATTTATAATGAACATCAGATAAATCTCAATGATTCAAGTAGTATTAATATTGTACAAGAAAGATTAAAGAGATGATAACAATATTTACAGTTTAGCAGTTTGCAAGTAGTATAGGAATAATAATGGAAAAGAAGCAGGATTAAGAAATTGATAGAAAAATTAACTACAGCACTGACTGTTAGATGTCTCACATATGTTCATGTATGAAAAAGACACATTAATAAGAAGGCCATTCTTGTAAATGAAAAGAGCTTTATTCTGGATTAACTAGGTTCACAGCATGTTCACTCTGAGAATAAGCCAATTAAATTTTTTGGTTTTTTTTTTTTACTGGCATAATCTGCTGTGATTTGGGAGTCATTCCTGTGACATGAAGAATGTGAGGAGATTCAACAGGGTAAAACCGCATCAAGACTGAAATTAAATAGAGACTGAGCAAAGCAGACTAGCAGATTAATACTTAGAGCGTTCCTGTGTCACATGATCATCCTTAGCACAGGAAAATGGACATTACTGGCCTGACAAACAAGTGACACAGGGTGACTGAGGGATTTCGTGGCCCTTCAACAGTTTTTGGAGAGGAAACCATCTGTAAAGCTCTGTCTATAACAGATGAGAAAGGTATCACCTTCCAGTCTGGAATACTGGAATGTCACCAGTCCTTGTAACACATGAAATGCATGTTGTACATGTTTCCAAATAATGAGCTTGCTTACATGTTAGGAATATTTTGAATAATGTACATGAGAAACTGTTACCAATAACTTTCTCTTAAAAGTAAATTTGGGAATTGCTTTCATTCATAAGGAAATAAAGATATGTATGAAGCAAAGCTTGCATTCTGCCTTCCAGTGACAGTTTTTCAAATTCTTTAGTGCTTTGGAAAACAAATAAATGTTCTGCATTCTTTGATAGTATTGATCTTAAAATAATAAATTTTTAAAAAGTCTGTAATTGTGTCATATTGATAACAATTCAATAGTTATACCTGGCAAAATGTAAGGGTAGCATTTTATAAATTAGTAATTTTTCATAGCTGGAAATTTCTACTTACAAATCTTACTGTATCTTCCCAAACTATCTATTGGAAATAAGCCAAACTTAGCATACCAGATTGAATTATTTATTTTGGAGATAAATTTGAAAAAAAAATTGCTGAAACAGTCTCATTTCATTCACTAGGTACTACCAATTATATTAAAAGTACAGTAAGCAGAAAGAAATCAAATACTCTAGAAAGAAAGTGTTTCTTTCCACACTGAAGACATTTGAAGTACATCTGTTAGTTATAAAAGGTTTGTGGTGAAGTCAAATTTCAGAGTGTGCTGTAGCTGCTCAGTCCAATTTATAAGTTAAAATGCGTCGCTTACCTTGCACTCTTTTATGTGCTGGACAGCTGGTGAGCAGGCCAAACATAATAACATACCAAACAGGTATGTGCTGCTGAAATATCTCCCAGGAATTTGCCCTCTACTTGCAGAGGTGACCTCACTCTCACTCTTTGGATGATTCTGCAGTGTTGCTGGAAGGTTCTGCAGAAAAGGTACCAAAAATGTGCCAGCTTCCAATTAGGCAAAACAGAACAGAGATTTTTATCCTAGAAGACCTGACCACAGCCTTTATGTTTTTTTGTGATATGTGTATACATATATGTATATATATAGAATAAGTATTTTTTAATTTAGATGTCTTCAGTAATCTGTTCACAGTCACACAGTTCACACAAGCAGAAGGATACAAATCAACACTAAAAACATGACCACTTCCTGAAACCACACTTGTCAGGTTTTTCTATGCAAATAAAATCAACATTTTGCTGGCAGCTCTCTGATAAAAATAAAAGTATGTAGGGTTTTGCACAACCCAACAGATGCTATGCCAATTTGAGTAGTGTTGTCCTTCTCAATAGCTGAAGTGCAGCAATACAAAGAAGCTTGTTCGATAAACAACTCATAGCACATGATCATGAGGAGGTGAATGTACTGGGATATTTATTTCTACCCATCAATCCCATTTAGAATTGACCCAGATAACAAAACAGGATCTTTTTTGGAAGCTATATGAAATTCATTGATGATCATGATTTTTAGTAGATTTATGCTAGAACCATTAAGGTATTCAGCACTAGAAGACATCTGAACTTTTCTTATAAGTCAGTAATTCAGTGAAAGCAATACAATTTATCTCTGGGGCAGTGCAAAGAAGTCTGAATGACCATCTTTCAGACATGACTTTTCTTTGGGTAGCCAAACACAGCAGTCTGGATTTCACTCTGACATAAGGCACAAGCACCCACTTCACCATCACGACAAGTTTGACATTTGGTCTGTTACAGACATTCTTGCTACTTTCAGATTTAGTTTTGACCAGCAAAGTTTTAAACATATAAAATTGTAGGTAAATACACAAAATCTTTAAGTGTTCTGATCTCTCTCTATTTTTTTAATAAAAGACACCAGAGATTTATTTCTTATTCTGAGACCACACAGTGCATTTGCCTTTCCCAAAATGTCTGCCTTTGAACTCTGCCCTTGTAACAACTTTGTAATGCAGTTCAGTAGGATCTGTAGAACTGTAAATACAAACTAATATTGGCTACTGTAAAAATAAGTTGTTTAACATTTCTTAGATTTGTTCTTAAGTATTCCATACAGAATATTCATAACCTGGTCCAAAGTCCAATCAGATTCTTTAGGAATATCATATGAAACCATCAAGCCTCTAACTCACTTCCACTAAACTACATAAATATTTGTTGGAGAATAGATTTCAAGTTTCCATTTATAGAAAGGTCTTTCCACAGACTAAAATAATTTACATTAATACACAGTAATATTATAATAAGGATGTAAAATGAAAATTGAAAAGATAACCTTTGAAGGAAAAGACACATTTGAAATTGGCCACAGCCTTGGCTAAATCTCTTTTTACCCTTAAGCTGTCATGATCATTTGATGCCTGTAAAATACAGTAGGACTTGAAAAATGATCCAGCACATCACTATCCTGTTGATAGATTGCTTGTGGGTTGGTGATTCACATATATTTGTTTATCACCTTGCTTTTAGAAGTTATTTGCCAGTTATGTACCATATATCTCAGCAGATATACAGTAGGAGCCAAGACAGAAAATGCAGCAGTCATCTCTCACTTTAAATGTCATTAACAATTGACAAAATCAGTCTTTCCCATTAAAAAGGAAAATATGTCCTTGGACACTTGGAGCTTACTTACTTTTCTAAGGTTTCTTGAAAACCATTTTAGATTTGACCCTTGGTTTTTTTTTTCAAATCTTAGACCTATGCCTAACTCTATGAAGCTCAGTGAGGAAATGGCTGATCCAAACCAAACCTAAATATATCTACTGCCTCAGATGCCCTCTTTGCTGTCTAATTCTACAGTTTCTAGGCATCTGCTGCACTGTAGTCTTTGGTTAAGTCTGTACTAATACAGCATCAGGGGCAGGGGATCTGTCAGTGTGTTGACATGTAGTTTTTCACACCATTACTTTGCTATAATGCTCCATGACTTTGCCTTAACCAAGTGGAATTTCTCCTGTGTGGTATCTTAGGTTTACAATGAGCAGATGACCACATTCTGGAGGTGGTATGGATATTGCCTCTTTGTTTGGGGATGTAAGAGAACCCACTCCAGTGGATATGCTGGGCCAGGTGGCCCCTGGACAGAGACCAGCCCTTGGCCTGCTTTATTTACTACTGGAGATGTTGCCACATTTTCAGGTAGTTCTTGCACTTCTACAAAGCTGTCAAACTTCATCCCTACCAGGATTTAGTGGCAGGGTATGTAAACTGTGTTCCATTCTTGGTACAGCATAACCCTCACGCTATTACATCTTTATTAAGAGCTCTTAACTCTGCAGCATCTGCTGTGGTACAGCTCCAAACCAGCTTCTCTCTGGGAAGATTGGTTAAGAAGGACTTGCAAATTAATTTAACACTTTAAAAGTGTAAAGTCTTTTAAACTCCTAACTTGTGTTTTCTTTAACTTAGGCTTAATTAGTTTTCTCTAACTTAGGCTTTCTTTATTATCCCTAGGCTAAAATTCACTCCCAAAAATGTAACCCCACAAGCCTAAGACTATTTCTAAATGGGCTACCCTTTGGGATCTGGCTACCTAGCTCATTGTGTTTTGTTTGAAGTGATGATTACCTTAACATTTAAAGCATTCTCCACAGTTCAAAGCCAAAATGTGTGGTATGAGTTAAAATCCAGTGCACCAACTGGTTAATGCCTCTAAATACTCTAAACAGCTAGGTGCTTAGATTGGGTGCTGCTTCATGCTGATAGGATGCTGCTTCATGCTGCTTCTTTGTTTTCAAGAATGTACCAGATTTGATTTGAACAGATATTCTAGTCCTGAGGAGTCCTTGCACAGTTAGAGAGACCTATTTCACTACTATCTTTGTTATAAAAAGCCATTTTTTAAAATAACCAAGATAAAAAAAAAAAGCCTAATGTACTACTGGAGTACTCATAAAAGCCTCCAGCCTTAGTTTAAGCAGGGAAATCTAGCAAACTCCAACCTACTCAGGGTGATAAAATGTGCCAAAACTACTGAGCCCAGAAGAGGATGTAATTTACATAAAACAGAGGCGTAGAAATAATTTTCCAAGTTTTAACCTGGACTGTCAAACTCCTGTAATGTACAGACGAGAGGGTCATTATTTGAGAAAGTGATTTTAAGACACTGTAGTTACACTTCATTTCTGATATAATTCTATTTCTTTTTTCATTTCCTGCATGACATTTACCACACATGAAGTCATTGTGGGATGTGTAGTTATAATTATGTATCTACGGGTGAATTACATGCAGTTAATCTCACAGAACTGTTTACCCAAAAGAAGTGACTGTTTTATAAAGGATGACTTTGATTACTATTCACAGAAATGTTATTTTTAAGGGACAGTGAATCTGATAACTGTTCCCTGGCTCCTTGAATAAGTGTTTTAAAGAAATGTTGTATCTTGCTCATGCCAAGCCTGGTACTGAAAACTCCTGTCATCTTCAGTTTCTGCATGAAATACCAGCCTGTACTTTGTAAATAATTCTCAGGCAGATGAAGATATAGATAAAATTGAATGCCAGAGACATTCGTTATATGATTAACAGTAAATGTACTTCTCTGTGAAATGCATTGAGGCCAATTATCCAAGAGATACTACCCAATTTCTACTCACAGTAGCTGTATCTGAAATCCTCAAGGCATCTCTCAGTTGCTACTTTTTCATTCTATTTTCCAGATGGATAATAATTTACCTGGGTCATAAATATTGTGTGTGCTGATATATCCTGTTTTCTGGCAATAATTTAATCTTTCATTAGCATCTTCTTTACTCACCCTTTACAGTACTCTTTTGCTTCATTTGCTGCCAACTTAACTAGCCTCTATCACACCCTTTCCCCCATAAATAAGGGTATTTCTGTGGACTGTCTTCTCTCTCAGCCCCAAGAAAATTTTCACACCAAACAGTTCAGTTACACCTCAAGCTGTATTCATGCTTCCTTGTTTAAGCACCTATTATTCCTTCCTTCACTTGTTCCTACACCAGTTTTGTGCAGCCACACAGTGAAACAGTTCAGCAAATGCATTCACATTTTCCCACGTTCTGTCTAACCCTGCTCAGACCCCAGCTTGGCTCACTGTGCAGCTGCCCAACAGGCAGGTCAGTATAAACTGACAGCATGTGACCAAGAGCTAATGACCAAGGAGAAAGTTTTTCTAACAAAAGAAGCACTCTTCACTACTTTTTATTCTATTACTACTACACTCTTTACTATTCTACTCACATTTCAAATATTACCATATTACAGAATCACAGCATGTTGGATAGGACAATATTCTGTGTTGGACAGGACCCACACAGATCATTGAGTCCATCTCCTGGCCCTGCACAGCACCATCCCCAAGAGTCACACCCTGTGCCTGAGAGCATTGTCCAAACACTTGAACTCTGTCAGGCTGGTGCTGAGATCACTTCCCTGAGGAGCCTGTTCCAGTGCCAAATCACCCTCTGGGTGAGGAAACTTTTCTTGGTATCCAACCTAAAACCCCCCTGACACAACTTCAGGCCATTCCCACCAGAGAGAAGAGCTCAGTGCCTGCCCCTCCTCTTCCCCTCATGAGGAAGCTGTAACTGCAGTGAGGTCTCCCCTCAGCCTCCTCCAGGCTGAACAGACCAAGTGACCTCACTCAGCTTCTCCTCAGGGCCCTTCATATTGAAATACTTCATTATTATTAGGGAATTTGATTAAAAAATAAAATAATACAAAATAGGTTTAAATTCATTCTACAGGAGAAAAGAATTTCACAGGGAAGTATTTTTTTTCCAAACTATTTAAAAATCAATTACTTGAAAAAGATCCTGTGCTATCAAGACACGATAGTGGCACACTCCTTGAGATGATGCCTGAGTTACTACCTAGCATAAGACTGGATTGAAGTCGTGGAAAATAAACATGATCTGGAATGGGGACAGGAATATCTTCAATCTTTGGCAGCACTCTAATTTG